CCAACTTCTAAAAAGAGAATGTTTCTTTGTAAATAAATGCGCGCACACACGCACGCACCAACATGACATCATGACTTTGCGTAAACATACACGCCACTTTCAATTCAAGTGGCGTGTTATCTATACGCATTTTGAGCTATCCGCATGTATGTCCACGCCGAAATCTTTTGCGTGTATGTCTACGCCATTAAACGTCCGAGTGATTCCGCGTGTATGTGTACGCCGTTAAATGTCCGAGCGAAACGAAGCAAAATCTATATTCTACATCTGTGGAGCGATATTTCTTTTCCTAGGATGGTAGGAGAAGACTCATAAATGGTATTAACCCCAGTGACGGGTAGGTTTAGGGACGGGGTTGGGGTAGGTCATATATTTATATGTACATAATACAGTAATATAACGTTAAGTCAAAGGCGTTGATAAACACGCTGAAAAGCGATTATGCGTGTTGATAGCACGCCAAAAATGGAAATACGAATTGGCGTGTCATACATACGCCATTTCATGAGATCAGTCTGCACGCACACACACGACTTGTTTAAATACATTTATGTTGTTAATAAATAACAATAAATTGTTGCTGTACCAGCAATATTTCCAAGTTTTGTTTTTCACTGTAGAAATGTCAAATGTCATGATTTGCCAATGCAAGAGAGTACCGGCACCTTTTCCCCCCACTTCAAGCACTGACTGGAGGAAATCCCCCCTTACAGACTCTTGCATTGTCAATACAAGATCTTGACCAAAAACTGATGCAGCTCTTGATGGAAATAAATGTTTTTGGTCCAGATCTTGTATTGTCAATGCAAGAGTCCAGCTCTCTGTAAAGTCTCCTCCAGCACATCACAAAGACTCTCAATGAGTTTAAGCTCTGGACTCAGAGGAGCCGATTCATGTGTGAAAATGATTCTTCATTCTCTCTCACAACCATTCTTTCACAATCTGAGTCTGATGAATCTTGACACTGTCCTCCTGGAATATGACCATGATGTTCTTCCTACATGGATGTTTAAGAAATGAAAAGCTACACACTCCCTCAATTAGGGTTAGAAGAACTGATGCAACACATATAACATTATAGAAACATAATAATCACTGCAATAATGATCCAATCTTAGACTCTTAAGCGTTTGCCTATTTAAATCCAAACAGCTAATTTGTTTGTCCGGGCAGTGTATATAATATACTACATTGCTATGGGAGAATACTATACTGAAAGCTCGCACAGCTCAGTGATTTTAGAGGAAATTCATAGGCAGTCGGTGAGCATAGAGTCCATTCAATAATGCAACACTTTGGCTTTATTCCAAACCTATACTGTCAGTGAGCTTCAGGCATCCTAACCCACACACAAATACAGACGCTGGCAGACCACTTTATCCAAAGCGACTTGCATTGCATTGAAGTTGTGCTGAGTTCATGCCGTCTAGGGCCTCTAACTCGGGGCTTACTTTTTTTTTACTTAACTCTTTCCCCACCATTTATGAGAAAACGCTTCCTGCCTTTGACGGAAATTTCTGTCTTTCCATGTTTTCACTGTTATACGATAGGGGGCGCTATTACACATCTTCTGAAAGATTACTGAATCTCCTGATCAAAACACTGACAAATAAGAAGCAGAAACAAGCGGTATCATATGTAAGCAGATGCACGTGTAAAATAACAGCATATAAATCAAAACTTCCTAATGTTGCTGAATGAAATGTCGACCCAGGACGAGTTACAGGACTGTGAAGCTTTGATGGACTCGATCTACTCCATCTGTGTTTGATCACCGTTCTGAATCTGATCTGGTTGTAGTCTTTGACAAAAACAGGATTTTCTCAGCTTTTTGCTAAAAAAATAATGCATTAACTGTTTTTTTTTTTTTTTAAACAGAGGCTGTTCTATCTTTTGATGTATTTCATATTCAGATATTCATTCTACAAAATATTTTGCGGTTCATGAAACTTGTGAAAATGATCACAAATGCTGGCGTTGGCTGACAACTTTTTTTCAGAAATGCAGACGGGGAAAGAGTTAAAATGATTAATACACGGCTCTGTGGAATACTTGATTCTGATTGGTCAATCGCGCCATCCAGCGATATATTATTCCCAGATAAACAGAAACCATGACAGAAACACAGGCTCATCCGTGTCACTGAAGTCAGCAGCGCTATACGTTTGCTAGGAACGTGTTTTCTTCGTGGAAGTTGTGCTTTTGGTGAGCTAATAAAATATTTGAAAAACTCAGTCGAATCAATATTTTGTGTACAGTTATTTAATTATGCCATCCAGTATCGTGGACTCGCTCTCTCTCGTTTCACACAAACGCAGCGGCTGCCATTTTGTTTAGTACACTGTTGGATTATAAAATATAACAGACATGATTTTAAAACGGTTTAATCTGAAATCAATATCTCTAATCCCCATAAATATTTATGTGGCGAAATTCTGTGTAATAAGCGTTATCCCCCCAGTGGGCATTTGATGTCAATTTAACATCAAAATGACATCAAACATTGACGTCAAAATTACGTCACGAAATAGGTCAAAAATGAAAGTCAAATTGACGTCAAAGTGACAACGTCAATTTGATGTCAAGATTTTGACCTCTGCCGATGTCATTTTGATGTCATGCTGTTTGCATTTGATGCCAATTCAACATTTATTTGACGTCAAGATGTCATGATGTTGATGTCATTTTAATGCTATTTTGATGTCATTCAATATCAAGCTTCAATATCAATTCAACATAAATGTGACATCAAACATTGATGTCAAAATTACATCAATTTATTGACATATTTTGATATCATTTCAATGCCAAGCATCACTCAATTCCAACCTTAATGTACAATGACTGACAACATACACATACTTTGAGATCTGATATGTTTTTATTTTATTTTTTTGAGCAGTGTAATACAGCTTTGGGTTCAGACCTCCAGGGCTCTCAAGTGCCTGTAAAAGGGAACAAGAGAACAAGAAAGCAAACATTAAAATGGGGCCTTTCCATTAACATAACTAACGCTTAGTACCCATCAGTAGTAGGCTACTCTACAATATATAGACAACTAAAGATAATCCACATTATAGCCTAATCACATGCAGTAGTCAGAGGTCCAGATGTGTACTAATATATGAAAACTTTTGTTAATATCTGAACTTTTGTTAATATCTGTTAATAGTGTCATATGTCAGGATCTCATTTCACTGCTAGTAATCAGTCCACATTTTGTACTGAATTGTAGAATGTGAATATTCATTCAAAGCCAGAGAGCAGCGATATCAAAACATCACATTCGTCCGAGCTCTTCCCTATGTAGGCTATTGGTGTCTCATTTCCATGGAGAATATTTTTACCCCTATATCTTTCCACTCTGTTTCGAAGGATACTGTGTAGGGGTAAAATTAAGGGGAAGGGTAAAAACAGAGAAATGGGATTGGGCCTAGATCTACATTGTTTGCAGCAGCTCCTACCTTCCGGCGTCCAGTGCCCCCTCTTCTGTCCGGTGCAGCGCTCAAATGGTTGGCCGTAAGGCCATCCTTAAAAATATTTTGGTTTGCAGTAACAGCAAAAAAAAAAAAAAAAAAGGGTCGGTAGGTAGGTCTATATTTTTTTTTTTTCAAGATTCAATGTAAAAAAAAAGGATAATTTTGGTCATGGTGATTAGGTCGGTATGAATTTAAACAAATTTGCATATCGTGACGTCACTGACTGGGTCTTCAACCCCCATGCCTTCGGGCGCACCATTGCGAACCTCATTCTGATACAGGTTATAGACCACAAACAATTTGAAATCTTTGTAAAAAAAAAACATATTTATTGCATTAATTCCAGCTGCATTCATTTGGAAAAAAATAGGCAGAATAAAAAAAAAAAAAAAAAAGGAGCCACTAGATTTCATTGAAAGTGGATTTTCAGAGGGAAACAAATAAATTAAAATGACTAATCTCACCAGCGCCGCACCGACCAATAAAACAGCGCGTTTGGCACCATTCGTTTACATTTGACCCATACTGTTACAAGCCCCCTTTCTGGTCTAGGGGCAGGAAAGGAGGGTAACAAAAAGTTGCAGGGAGAGAGTGAGAGATTTGACCCATAAACATCTGCTATTATTAACGGAAATCAGTGTGGTCAAATAGCTAGGCGCATTGTAGGAAACTATAGGCCGATTAAGTAGTCCTGACATATTATGGAATGGTCGATTTTCTTTTGTGCAATTTAGTACATTTCGGTATGGGATGTGCTGTTTTATTGGTCAGCGTGGCGCTGGTGAGATTAGTTCCCGCCGCTCTGACCATTGGCTGGCGCAAGCAAACACTTCTCTCTGCGCTGTCGAGTCTGTCGCGCTCGCGCGTCTCGGTCCATTGAGCCACGCAGATTACAAGTCAGCGCAGCGCGAACTCTGTAACACACCGCGCTGTTTCATCCCCCTTTTGGTGTGTTTGGCTTCCCACACTTATGTGTGTTTGTTTGTCAGAGCCTGCAGTTGCTGTGTGACGTGCGTTCGCGGTGGGCATGTCATGACGAGCTGGACGCGCTCCGAGGAAAGGCCGTTAACATCGATTCCCTATTTGAATTTCGAATAATGAGCGACTAAATGTAGGCTCATACAGACGTATTTCACAAGCAGCCGCGCCGCAGCCATCATCACCGAGCGCGAACCATTGACAGTGAATGAAACGAAGCGAACGCACAGGCCATAGTGTGACATGCGTAAACCAATGGTGTAAACATAATCATAATAGATGACGCCACGGGTTTTTATTTAAAAGAAAGAACGTAGCCTACGCAATTTATATTCACAATACTTACTATAATAAATGTATATTATTTTATTGCATTTGTATTAGTTGTTTGAAGAGTAAAAAAAAAAATCGGTCGGTCTTAATGCAAGTTTACAACCGGCAAGTCGGTCGGACTAAAAGGGGAAAAAAATAAAAAATTGGGTCGGTCCTAATTTGACAGGGTCGGTCGGGTTACGGCAAACAAGAATATTTTTAAGGATGGCCTAAGGCTACCAATGGAAGCTTCTGTGATGCCGGGTTGTAACTTCTGGATGGCACCTGAAAAATGTAACAGCAATTGCCATTTATCTTGCACATACTGATCAAAATAAAAATCATGTAGAGAATAGAGCTATAGGTGGTGTAGGTGCACAAATAGAAAATATAATTACCTATTGTGACCTTATAAAGTTCCATTCTTCTGAAAGGCAGCTTGTCACCAGTCCCATCCATGTTCATTATAGACATGAGGCGATTTGTGAGCACTCTGTCAATCAAAATGGGAATAAACAAAGTTATACATGCTGTACAGCAAGAAATGTGAAATAATGTCAGGGCTCACAAAATCGTTAGCCCGACGTCCCGGGGCTATTGTGTTTTCCAGTCGGGCTACCAAAATGCATAACTGGCCTGTCCGACGGACTATCTGAAATAGTGTAATCAAATTCCCCTAAACTTCTGCCTCGCCCCCTAAAAATTTGTGATTAATTGTAAACTACAAACATTCGTGTTCGCTTCAGTCTTGTTATAATCAGATTCAGTGTGTTCTTCATATTCAATCCGCAGATGTTGGCGTACTCATTTAAGAATATTAAATACATTTTTAGATATTAACAGCACAACTTCAGAGACTGACCTTTTCATCACAATGTTGACATTTTCCCGCAGGGTAGCTGCACCAATTTGACATCGGATCTGTCTGAAGGAATAATTTAGCAAATATGCAGAAATGTATGAGGTACAAGAATATGTGAATACGATATTGTATGTGTAATAATTACATCTGTTAGCAAAAGTTTGTTTTACTTTTTCATAGTAACCTACCATGAGTTTTCGTTTTTTCTCGCTGGTTAGCTGTCTGTTAAGCTGTTGAAGCGGAGTCGCTTTTGGAACTCTGAATGTCAGACCAAAGAGAGCAATATTACAATATTATATTCTGTACAATCATTTTTTTATTATTGCATTTAAAAAAAATAATAATTCAATGCAGCAGCTATTTTTGTTAAGAACACACTTACTTTTCTCTTCCATTGGGAAAGGATTATGTAAAAAGGTCAAGGGAGTATATGGCTACCAACTTACCTCTTATTCAAATCTGTTACAGATCTGGTGCTGGTACGCTGAAAAAAATTGATAACATTTCACATGCTTAGGATATCATTTTAAACTCATTGTTAATTTGTCAACTCCTTATTAAAATAAACATTTCTTTAAAATAATTACAATTCAAGAGTAATTAGTCATAATATGGATATTTTATTACCACTACAAGAACATACATTTTTCAAGATTATTCGCATAGACTTGGCAATGTTTCCCAATGTTTTATGGTCTCTGTGAACCGGATCGCAAAATATAGCCTATGTAACTTTTATGTAACAAATTCGAATCTAAAGTAAATATCGTCGGTTTGGCCTCAGAAAACCAGTAAAATCTACATTTTTCCACACTTACACACACACAATGTTAAAATCATACGATGGCAGACAGGAAGACACTTCTTCCATACCAGAATGTAAACGTTACAGTTAAGCTAACCTCAGGTCAAATTAGCTAGCTAACTCGCTCTGGTAAAGGCTTTGAAATTATTCGACATAATTCTGAAAATTACACCCATTAAGATTAAGTAGCCTGTGTATAATATGGTGTATTAACATAATAACAACAATAGCATGCTAGCTGGTTACTTACCAGGATTTGAAAGAGAAGGATTTTTTGAAATTGAAATTGACGATCTCTTCTCTGGCAGTTGAGCAGACGTGTGAGGGCGGTTATGCAGATCTTCTACTTTTCCGCGCGATATGGCCAGGATGTGACGTCTTTTTGTAGTCAATTTGTAGTCGATGATGATTATTTTAAAAATCAGCTTCAATGTCAGATTAAATGTACCTTTTATAGTATATGCAATTATAGTGTCTGCTGTCATTTTAATCGTGAACTGAATATAAACTTGCTAGGATTTAAATAAAATAAAAACGCAAAATACCTATAAGCCTACAACTTTCAAGATCATTCAGGCGAGGTCTTTTAGATGTTGAAAATTAGTCGCATTGATTTACAGTGAGTAATAAATATACTTTTTCAGACATTGTTTTGATATACATTTCACATCATATTGACGTTTTATTTCCTGACGTCAAATCAACATCGATTTAATGTCAATGATATTGACCTGAGATGTAGGGACCAGAAAAAACATGTCAGATTGATACCTTTGTTTGGCCTCTTTACAACCACAAGGAAATAATTACAAAATATAATGAAAATGTGCATATTCATGCATGTTATACATGGTGGTCAAAATCTTGACTATTTATTGATGTCAAATTGACGTCAAGGTGCCCGCTGGGCCGTCTCTCTGAAATGTCCGTCTAGTTTGAACTTGACTCAGATCAATATTTTGTGTCTAATTATTTACTTACGTGGCAAATAGCCGTGTAATAATAATAATGTACACCCATCCAGTTGTTATCTGAGAACCCCTGACAGGGTGATGAGGACCCCGACGCGATGGGACATTATCCCTTACATAAACTTTACATAAATTATCGTTTGTTCCTCAAATAAATTTAACATCTGACCTGAGAACTCTTGGAAAACAGCACACAAATCATATGGACCAGTTTTATGCGACCTTTATGGTCATTTTTGAAACTCAACAGTGTCTGTCAGCATCTAATTTCATTTGACAGAAAATAGCAGAAATTTAATCAATTTTGAAACGACATCGTCACTTTGCTAGCTGGGTGAAACAATAGATGCTGGGAGAAACGGTTCATTCTTAATTGGATGGAGCCTTTTTTTCTATCAAACCTTTGTTGGATAAAATACTGAGCTAATCACAATGCATTCCGGGATTGCAGAAACATGCAACGCTGCCAAAATGGCCAAAACAAAGCATTTATCTGCCTACTGCATTGCCAATGATGCTTTCAAGGTAGACGCTCAATAGAATTTGAAAGAGAGCCGCGGCATTAGCATCAAGTAGCTCAACCTGGCACTGCTCACTCAACCCATCTATCATGATTTCAAGATGCATGCAAATGTTTGATACAGACAACAAACCATCTTTTAAAGCACAACCAATTCACAATGCATCTGGCGGAGGTAAAAACAAAGAAAACATGCAATTTGCATGAGAAATCTCATGTTTTTTATTAACAAGAGCGCAGCAGCCACACCTGAAGACCATCGCTCACTCCTATCCGCACCTGTGCGCTCCAAACAACACCAACACTGCTGCGAAATGAGGACAAATAGAGCCCAAAACATGCTTTTGTGCTCAATTCTTCTGCCATGTGAGATAGTTCATTAGCCAGTAACAGTAGGCTGTTTATGGAAGACAAATGTAGTAACTTGGAGCATTTTGAGCATTGTTTCTGTTTTATACTCTAGCATAACCTAAGCTTGAGTTTACCGCATTTCAGTGGATTTTCATCAGCTAACCGTAAAGAATAAACGCTCGACCCGTCACAGGTTTTCATAAATGTTTGATGCAGATGTCGACTGTAGCGTTTAACTGCATTAAAGCGTCGCATGGTTTATGTGGTTGCCATGCAGATACAAAGTCACCCCTGAGAAATAAAGACTGATTAGATTTAATGGTGCAGTTTGTGTTAGAAGGGGCAAAGGAAGGACAAGAGCGCGAGAGGACGGCGGAGGGAGGAAACCAGAGAGACTTTGATCTGAAGAAATTCCCAAAGTGTTCTGGAGGCGAGTTTCTTCAAAAGTCGCCAAGGTGACCCGTTTCAGTGCTCCTGCGCACACACACACACACACACACACACTCGCTCTCCCTCGTGCTGGAATGACTGGCGCTGGTCTCGGGGCAGAAGTCTGGACACGTCAGATTAAGCAGGTCACTTACCCGGAGTCCTTTCACAAACACCCTCCAGAGAAACAGAGAGAGACAAAGAGACACAGGCCAGAAGAAAGAGCCAGAGAGGCAGGAGCTGTGGATGTTTATTCGGTAGATAAATAGTTTTTAAAGGGACAGCTCATAAAATAAAAAAATAATTTACTCACCCTAGCCTGGAACATGCTGCTCTTTTCTATTCAATGAAAGTGAAGGGATAGATGCTGTCAAGCTCCAAAAATACATACAAATATTACAAATACGTATTATAAAGAGGACCTATTATGCTCTTTCACAAAGTCTTGATTTCGTTTTTGGTCTCTACTAGAATAGGTTTTTGATGCTTGAATGTTAAAAAAAAAATGTTCCTATGTTTGACATTGTTGCGGCTCCTCTCTTCCCAGTCTGTCAGTAACGCTCTGTTTAGTTCCTGTCTCTATAAAGCCCCTCCCTCTGAAAAGCACACTGTGCTCTGATTGGTCGGCTGGATTAGTGTGTTGTGATTGGTCGAGCGCTTCGAGTGTGTTTGGGAAATGTACCGCCCCTTACCATAACCACCAGTTTAACACACTACTAACTAACTCAACCAGGCCCCGCCCCTTTATTCTGCGTATGAATTTTTTAAATGAGGAATATTGTGATGTGTTTGTTCCCGGAAGAAACTCAAGACTACAATGAAGGCGTTTCAGGAGTTCAGAAACACTGAAACTGATATAGAGAAGAACTCCCGCTGGAGGGACTTTGAGCTCAAACTGCAACATTACACACTAAAGAAAGTTAATAAACATAATATGTCCCCTTTAATAGTGGTCAATAAGCCTCAGAGTCAGAATATTTGTTTTCTATAGTTTTCTCGAAGCCACAAGATAGCTTTGTATGGCAAACAGACCCAAAAGTTACTATTCTCAGCACAAATTTTATTTGCGGTTGGACACAAATGAACCCTATAAAGCCTACTGTTATCATATTTGATATGCACATTTCTAAGGCCTCAAAATGATCAAGATGATCAAAACTTTGCTGAAAAAACCTGTGGCACACAATCTACATGCCTTCAATCTGTCGTCTGATATATTTATCTAGAATAATTGTACGAACGTGCATCTGCAGCTTGTGTCTTTTTGCGGTGTAAAATCTTCACAAATTTTTATAAAGTAAACGTTAGAATAATTATATTGTTAGTAATACTTCAAAACACACATTTACTGGACTGAAGCAACTTTGGATTATAAAAATCATGTTAAAATATGATCAAATACGATTCATCAGGCCTTTAGTTGTTCATCTCTCAATCATAATTCTATTGCATTGCATAAAAACACAACACAAACTACAGAGCTACTAAGCATTTAAATATCTCCTAGCAATTTATCAGCAGATATAGAGTGACAAACTGATATTTATATGCATTTTATCTAAGTAGTCTGCTAAACTGTTATAAAGATCTCTTTGATTTACATTACACGCATGAGAAGTATCTTACTTTTTGGACTTATAAATAACATCTAAATTGCATATTTTTGCATTTAAAAAAATGTCAATATTATTTCATATGTTTGGCTTTACAGGGTTAGAAATATGGTATGTTCCTCACATAAATTTAACAAATGACCTAATGTGGACAGCTTTTGATTGACAGAAACTCTGTTTTACTGAACATACTGTTAAACATTTAAGTTTAAAAAGACATGAGGGTGAGTAAATGATGACGCCATGTTCATTTTTGTGTGAACTTTCTTGTTTCACATGCTATACTGTCACATTATTAGAGGAATGAAGGCGTTCTGATTAGCCTACAACAACTTGAGCTGAGTTTAGAAACACACAAACCGCAAATGAACCGAAGCAGAACACAGAGGCTTTGTTTTAATAGTTTGTCAAAAAACAAGTTACAGCGGGTCTGCTAATTATGAGCGTTAGCTGAACACGGCTTTGACGTTCCCAACCACAAACCAACTGACAACTAGCTCATTAAAACTCTCCCTAACAATTACACAACAACAACAGCGGCCCGCCGGCTGTTTTACGGCCGTTGCATGAGCAAGTGCACACGTGATCCGAGTGTGCTTGAAATTTTAATTAGGCAAAGCATGAAATATTTAAGAAAAAAACTCCCAAGCCATTCCCAGGCTCGTGTAAAAGCACTCGCAGCTCTTTTTCTGCCTTTTTTTCACGCGGCTGGAATGGGTTTTGACAAGAATCCTCAGATAATCTATTCCCTCAACAGATCCTCGGCTGTAATAATTAGGACACAAAGAAGAGAGGAAATTTTCACATGTCCTCATTACACTTAAATATCGGTCTTGTACTAGAGCTTCACACTTTGTCTATTTAGCTTTAGGAGCATTAGACTCCAGTTCACACGACACACACACACGGTGAACAAGTTTTACAGTAGAAAATGTTGCTGCACAAATTCGTGTTAAATATGACCTGATGGGCTCAGCACTTTTCACATTTCATAGTGCTTAATTGGCATAACAAAGAATACAATTACAATCTGATCTTAAGTTAATTTAAAATGGATTGAGAAATGTTCATTTAAAAGTGTATTAAACTGAATTACAAGGAAAGAGAAAACAATTAAATCAATGCAGCACTGTGTTTAATTGGAGAATGCAGAAAAAGAGATGTGTTTTAATTCGAGACGCCTGCATACATCATTACATTTAAAGTTTGGGGTCGGTAAGATTGTTTCTAAATGAAGTCTCTTCTGCTCATCAATGCTGCAAAAGAATACAGTAAAAACAGTAAAATTGTGAAATATTATTACGGTTTAAAATTACTGTTTTCTATGTGAATATACAGTAAAGTGTAATTTATTCCTGTGATCAAAGCTGAATTTTCAGCATCATTACTCCAGTCTTCAGTGTCACATGATCCTTCAGAAATCACTCTAATATGATGATTTGCTGCTCAGGAAACATTTCTGATTATTATCAATGTCAGAAACTGCTGTGTTACTAGAAACCGTGATATATGTTTTTCAGGAGAACAAAGAAACAGCATTTCTTTTTAATATAATTTTTTTTTGATCATTATGTCTTTACTGTCACTTTTAATCGATTTAATGCATCCTTGATGAATAAAAAAGAATTAAAAAAATGACGACAACATACTGAGCCCAAAGTTTTGAATGGTAGTCTATGAGACAAGATGCTACTGCACAAAAGAAACATGCTAAATCTGATTTTAAATTACATTTGACTATATATTCACATAGAAAATTGTTCTTTTAAATTATAACAATATGTCACGATATTGCTGTTTTTACTGTATTTTTAATGAAATAACTGCAGCCTTGGTGGGCAAAATAAAAAAATAAAAAAATCTTACTAACCCCAAAGTTTTGAAAGGTAGTGTATATTTCATTTGATTGATTTCTTTGTATTTGATAAAGTAAAACTAACACTATAAAACACTGAACGAGCCACATTTGAAGCAGTGGTAAATAGTCACTGTTACCATACAGACTATATGTTTTTTGTTTTCTCCATAATAACATGCACTGTCGAATCATTCACAATATGACAAGCTGGCCTTTAATGGGAAGGTAAATAGGGCCCATTTTAATTTCATGTTGACTTACTGACTTCAAAGCGCCATGAAATCAAAACTGACTATTGTTATTTTTATGGAATATTGCAGTAATTATTATAAATAATTTATCTGTGCACATCATTCTTTTTAAATTAATAAATGCCCAAAACATCTAGTACCCTACTTACGAAAATGTTGATTCCATTTGATTTTTTTTTATAAAAATAAACTATAGGGTAATGCAGCCAAAGTCAAATTATAAGAAACAGAAATGTTAATTTATTAGTTGGGTCTTAAGTTCAAGCTATTGCAGTCTGTTAGTTCACCTCACCTCCTGATCCGAGACGTTCTTTCTTTTTGCAACTTCATATTTATCACGTCTGTTCTCCGCCTCTTGTGTCTTCGGGTTCGAACTTTAAAACGTTAGTTGTCGATGTCGACTCGTCAGTGTCTGTGGGCCGTATGGTGTGACACAGCCACAATGCACTGAAGGACCGGTCCGGATTCGGAAAGACAAATGAATAGTTCATCGAGTCTCGAGTCTTCGGGTTCGGCCGGGTCCAAGTCTAGCCTCTATAAGACTGACAGGACGAACGAAAGACTCGGACCCGTCCCGAACCCGAAGACTCGAGAGAGATGAACTAATCATCTCTGTTTCCAGTACAGATTCAGAACCATAGATATCCATAATAAAGGCTAGATGTCTCGTCCGCGCTGCTGGCCAGTGAGGTCGACGTCCGCACCTGGCGGCCATCTTGTCACAGGCAGCTCGCTCACTCGTAACATTGTGTTTTAATGGCGCATGTACTTTTTAAATAACCATAACTTGCTCAATTTTCTACCGATTTTCAAACGGTTTGGTTTGTTATAAACGTCAGACATGTAGTTATGACACTGCAACACTTATTATTCTAAGTGTGCAGTCACTGCACACTTATGAATAATAAGTGTATCAATAAATAATCATCCAGAATTATAGCCACGTTAATAACGTTTGTAAGAAACCAAACCGTTTGTAAATCCGTCAAGATTTCGACGAGATAAGAGTATTGGTGTTCGTGCTGAACACTCATCTTACATCAGAGAGCCCGCCAGAAAGCTTGCCTGTGACAAGATGGCCGCCGGTAATGACGATAGAGACTCCGCTGTAAGACATCTAGCCTTTATTATGGATATCTATGTTCAAAAACTATATGTTGCGCAATGCGCATGCGCGGTCAACACAAAATGAACGAATCACTCTCTGAGACAACTCGGTAGTCCCGAGTCATATTAAAGATTTGTTCAAAATGAACGAATCGTTCATGAACGACACATCACGTCACAATAGGGAAGAAAAGATTCTCAACTTTGGTTTCATGCTGACTTTAATAAAGAGATCTGCTGATTTACAGCTCTCACCTGACCAGTGTCCCGTCGTGGCTCCGGATCGATCCGTACAGGTGTCGCTGACGGGAAGGAAGGCTGCCTCCCATCCTTTGGGAGCGTAGCGCCAGTTGTGTGACTCGAGGATGAGAACTCTCTGTGTGCCGTAAGCGATCATGAAGCAGTAAACCACGTGATGGAGCTGACAGCCGTATCCACAGCCCTTATTGATGTTGCACACCAACTTACGAGCTTTACTGCAATCCTGCGGGTTCTGATCCGGACAGACGACACACATGACAGATGCAACTCAAATTATGACTGCATTTTAGATCAAATGACTTTGTAGCAAAATGCAAACTTAAAAAGTTCCAAAATTATTTTTTCAATAGCAAGGTCACATTTATTACATACATAAATGACAGATTTTTTTCTATTAGATACATTCATATTTCAAATTAAATCTTTTGAACTTTGTTCATTAAAGAATAAAAAAGTGTATCATTGTTTCCAGAAAAATATGAAGCAGACAACAGTTTTCAACATTGATAATAATCAGAAATGTTTCTTGAGCATCAAATCATCATATTAGAGTGATTTCTGAAGGATCATGTGACACTGAGACTGGAGTAATGATGCTGAAAATAAATACAGCTTTGATCACTGGAATAAATTAGAGATTAAAATAAACTAAAATAGAAAATAGTTCATTTAATTGTAATAATATTTCACAATATTATTTTTTATTAAATAAATCCAGCATTGGTGAGTAGAAGAAACTTCTTTAAAAAAAAAATCGTACAGACCCCAAACTTTTGAACGGCATAGTGTAAATAATAAATAAGTCAAATAAAAAAATAAAATCCACGAATTATAAGAAAATAAAATGACAACGATGCTGAAGCTTCTTGCCCTGCTTGAAGGAGATTCCATATTAATGATAATTTTACAGCGCTTACAAAATCTGAAGTTAAAGTATTGGTCAGGAATTATGGTTATCCTGATACACATTTGTAAAAGATGAACAGATTCTGTGTGTCCGGCAAGGGAATTTCTGAGCTCACATTATTTCCCCTCAGAAATGCTTTTTCAGTTTTATTGTGCCATTAGAGGAAATGAGTTACGATAATCAAATCGTCTGGCGGCCCTTTCACGTTGGTGGAATGTATTTTTTGAGCGAAGGCAATATAGATTTCACTCTTAATTCAAATCCAATCCAGTTGGCACAGAGTTTGCTATGGCAGCAGATGAAGCACTCTCGTTTTAAAGTGCTGCCCTAGCAGAAAACACTCACAGACATGTGCTGTGCGCTTCTGTGATGCAGAGATGCTATGGAAATCAGTGATCAGAGAGGATTTGGTATAAAGCATGGTAGTGAATGATAACCAGATCATTCCTGCGGAGAGAAACAGACACCATGCTGGGTTGTGCTGGTCTAGACTGGTGGCTTACCATCTAAACCAACAGAAAAAAAACCTGCTAATTAGCAGCTATATTATTATCATGTTAAATAAAGTGGGATCTTTAATGATTCCTGATTTGACAAACTAGTGCTTCTTTGCAGAAAACAAATAATGCATGATCGAGGCATTAGTGTCAAAAGACTTTAAGATAAATCAGTAAAAGACTGACTTCACTTGATCTCACACTTTGGGTTTCGTTAGAGGCAGTTTGTAAAGAAAATCACAATCTCGAACGGCATCAATATTTCCTCTTACCAGTCGATCAAACTGAAGTGAAGTCACAGATTTCAGTATAAAGGGAAAGAAGGGGAATAAAGGAACAGAGGGATAGTAATACAGAAGAATCATATCAGAAAAAAGATATTTAATTCGTGTTGTTCAAATTAAATTTTTGATTAAATCTGAGAGCTGTCTCACTCCTCCATAGGCTTCTGAGGGATCGAAACTGGCCGGCCCAAAAGTTATTAAAGACATCCAAGTGACTACAGTGGCTCAATCTTAAGTTTATCAAGCGACGAGAATACTTTTTGTGCGCAAAAAACAAACAAAAATAACGACTTTATTCAACTATTCATTTCCTTCTCTGTGGGCCTCGAGTGAGTTCACGTAGTGGAACAGAATATAGTCGTTATTTTTGTTTGTTTTTTTGCGCACAAAAAGTATTCTCGTCGCTTGATAAACTTAAGGTTGAGCCACTGTAGTCACTCGGACTATTTTAACAATGTCTTTACTAACTTTCTGGGCCGGCAAGTTTCAATCCCTTAGAAGCCTATGGAGGAGTGATCCAGCTCTCAGTTTTAATAAAAAATATCTTAATTTGTGTTCCGAAGATGAACGAAAGTCTTACGGGGTTGGAACAACATGAGAGCGAGTAATTACTGACAGAGTTTTCATTTTGGGGTGAACTATCCCTTTAATGTCGAGCCCTGAGCGAGAGGACGCGTGTACTGTACCTGCAGGTATGAGATCCTGTTCTGCACCAGACGGGAAAGATCTCTGGCCTCCTTCTCTCTCCAATCCCCTGCTCCATCCGCCTGACTGAGGAGGTGCAGGTCTGTCATGATCGTTCTGACAGCATACAAACACACAGGAGAGAGTGTTAAACCTCCTCTATCATCATCTGACAATCCATTCATTACCAGTGCTGGTCATATGTAACCTGGATTACGCAATCAGATTAAAAAAATGACATGCATTTTTAAATACTCGGACTAAAGTTACTTTTTTATTGATTACATGATTAAATATTATTGGCAAAATGGTGGTGAATTATTTCTAATTCAGTTTTAAGTTTATTTGTCATGTATACATATGTCACTGACAATTTGTACATTCAAATGCTTAGTTTGAGGCTATAGTGCAATAATAATACAATACAATATTTAGAGGAAGGGGGGGGGTAGAAATTTAAAGTAAAGTATATATACTATATATGCAAAACAAATATATGTTTGTTGATTCCAAATCTAATCAATTATTACTATGTCTTTGGAAGGCTTTTGTTTTTTTAAACACATTAAAATGCACAAATTCATGCCATTTTTATGCAATTCCCAAAGGTTTTTGTCAGTCCAACCTCTTTGACGTTATATAGAGAATGGATTTTCTTTCTCTCTTTATTTTTATGGTACACGATTATTCAAATCAATGCGATCTTTTAATCTCAAAGTAATCAAAAAGTATGTGTAAGGGAATAGATTGTCACTTTCACTGCAGTGATGTTCTTCCTCAGTATGTTTGTCTTGCTTTCCAGTACAAATCAAGATACATTTACTTGAGAAGTGAAATTACTTCAATATTAAGTATTAAGTCTAAGTCAAAATTATGCAAGTTTAAGCTTAAAACAAGAACAATATCAGTATCACTATAATGCATTATAAAAGTATTTTTAAAGCATTGATTATGCCTTGTAAGGCACCTTAGTTATAATATTTAATGTGACACCTTCAGAAAGCATTATGCATGACACAACCAATTTCAGATGTAACAAGGAAGCTGTAAATGCATTTTAACTTTAATTACAATTGTTTATAAAAATTATATAATGCATTATAACGTACATTATGAATATGCATTATACATGAAGGCTTTAAGTAAAGGGTTACCAAAATATCTGCCAACGGGGTCAGAAAAACCAACTCTACTCACAGGGAAAACAGGATTTTTTTTCTGACCCCACTGGCTGGTATTTTTCTTGTTTTAAGCAAAAGCTCACTTCATTTTGATAAATTTTTCAAGTCATTTTGCTTCTCAAGTAATTGAATCTTGATTTAAGAATGTTTAGATATTTGTACTAGAAAACAAGACAGAAATACAGAGGAAGAAAATATTTTTTTGCAGTGTACAGAGTCAGACATGTAATTTGTCTCCAGTAACGGACTATAATTTGTAAGCACTACATCTACCCATCACTGTTGATTACTTACAGTACACATTTTGACCAAATCAGATCTCAAATCTCCTTAAACCGTCCTTCACGGTTGCATCCCGCTTGATCATTTTGAAAAAAACTATGAAATCAAAATAATCCAGTCAAACCAGAGATCTGATTATTGCTCTAATAGGGCTGCAGTTACAGCCTGTACACAATAAAATCACTGCCAGAGAGAGAAAAAAACACCCGTCCTTTTGTTTAACATTCGTCTTGATAAATTTTGCAGTATTTTAATGTTAACCGAGGAAAAGAACAGCGTGAACATTCAGCACAACATCTCCTTTTTTTGTTCGACAGAAGAAATAAAGTAACGAGTAAATGATGATCATTTCAATTTTTGGATGATCCATTCCTTTAAATCAACTTATTCCTCAAAAAGTGGGAGTTTAGACACTAGTAACACATCAACCAGTCATTTGCTAATTCAAACAGATGGGCATATGCTGAGTTTATGAGGAGTTTAATTATTACTTCATCAATGAGAGACTCCTCAGGGAGCCGTTCGCTCCAACACAGCACAGCATTAAATGTGCATCGAGCACTTCTCTTTGTGAAAACAGAGAAACAGGTGTGAATGTGCTGATTGACCGTCTGAGAGACGCCGAGATAATGAGATATTGACAGCGTCTCTCTCTGTAATTAGTCTAGCGGGTGATAACTCAAAATTAAGTGCTGCTATATTTCTATTGCACCACCATTAGCGTCTGGAGCCGTTTCCTAACGGTGAAACTAGAGACGCACATCAATTCTTCATCATCCATCTCATCAAAAAACAATTCTGAGTGTTATGAAACCCGTCGACAACATGCTCGACTCATATTTCAGAAGAAAACAAGAAATAAATGAAAATAATGTTTTGCTGAAAACCAATTTTAGGTTTAAGTTTTTTTTTGTTTTTTTTTGCATTTTGACAATTAATCATATAAATAGTATAGTTTTTACTGCTTCATTTTTTTGTGTGTGGAAACTGTGATACACTATCATTCAAAAGTCTGGGGTAAGAAAGGTTTAAAAAGAAAAATAAATTCATACTTTTATTCAGTGAGGATGCATTCAATTGATCAAAAGTGACAGTAAAGACATTCATGAGGATGCAAAAGATTTCTATTTCATATAAATGCTGTTCTTTTGAACTTTATGTTCTATAAAAAAGCAGTCCCTTAAGTAGCAAAGACTGTTTTTAACATTGATAATAATAATAAATTAACAGTGAGCACTATGATAATAATTAAGCAGCAATTAAGCATATTTCTGAAGGATCATGTGACACTGAATACTGGCATAATGAAAACACTTACAAAGTGTTTATTGTAATAATATTTCACAATATTACTGTATTTTTGTTTGGTGAGCAGAAGATACTTCTTCTGAAAAAACGTTTATAAATCTTAGTCCAAACATTTGATTGGTCAACTTTTTTGTAATTATTATTTTTCATAATGCTGATTCTTATTAAATTAGTGCAAGCCGGTCATGTTTGAGTCTATTTTTAATTAAAGACAATACAGAAAACACGTCGTTAATAAATACGTAACACATTCTTTCTCTCTTTTTTTTTTTTTTGCATTATATTAAAAATAATTCAGAGACTAAATGTGCTATTGTCACAATGCAAAAAAACAACAACAACCTTTAATCATATTCTTAATGCAAATGTAATGTAGTTTTGACCACGGGGCGAAACATGGTTTGAGAGATTCAACCTCTGAGAGTCACAAATGAGATAAGATCACAAATCTTGTTTCTTCAAGAAATAAGAAGGGTAAATGAGAGCAAATTAGGTCTCCTGTAGATTTCAGATGTGAAATGCATGTCATTTTTATTCCTCCTAAAGAATTAAAGCAATGAAACCCCTTTTTGGGTGGAAGCAAAAACATGCTGTTTTCATGCGTGTATCTTTAAATGCAAATGAGCTGTTGCTCCCCGCCCCCTTTCCAGAAGAGGGCGGAGCCTTTACAGCTCGTGCCTCAGATACGCCGGCAACAACAAACAAGATAAAAAAATTCAGTTTTGTTTGTTTGTTTTTGATTATCATCAGTATCATGGTCACGCTCAAGTGACATTGCAGTTCTTCGACATCATTAAAGTTGATCATTTGCATGCATTTTATAGCCATATCAGTTTAAAATGTTGATATGTGGTTTTCTGAGCGCACACATCCAAAGCATTCCTGAATGGGAGACCCTGTATTAGATTTATGGGGAAAATAATGGATGTGGATGGATTTTTACCATAACAGGGGGGTTGTGTACACACACATAATTACGTTAAAAAACAATCTTAAAAGTAATTTTTGCACAATAGGTCCCCTTTAAAGACAAAGTTGAACTGAATGAAGCAGAAGAGCAGCGGTGATAATAGCGCTATGCCTGACCTCTGTTGGTGACCCAGGTCCTGCAGGAGTGTCTCAGTGTGTTTCTGTCTGTCTGTCGGGTTGATGTGACTCAGCTTCTGGATCTCGCTTCGAATAAAATACCACAGCTCTTTCACTCCATTCTCCACCTTCCTCCGCAATTCTTCCTGTTCTCGACCCGGACCAACTGAGGAAGAGAATGAGAGATTCAAAAGTGCTCTAATTAAGGAATAAGGTCTGAGAGGACGTGATATAATGTGAAGATAAGTATCTAGTCTAGTATCTAGTTGAAGACTGCAGTTGACTTAGCAGCTATTACTGCTGACATATGTGCTTTATATGAAAAGATGGCAGGGAGATTTGTAACAGTGTGTGAGTTTTGAAGGAAATTGCACAAAAGGTTAGAGTTGCTGTCGATCTCCCCTACAGATTTAGACTGTCCTCTTTTTGATTCTGTTCTCATTCGTCTCTCACTCTGCTCGGTCTCCATCTTTGGCTCTTATGTAATACGTTCAGTTCAGTGCTTTTGGAGGAAAACCCTCCTGGGTATATTGCCAGCGGGACAGGTGACCCTGAATGAAAGATCTGTCCCGATCCCCAGTGAGCTGCCCTGCTGTATGCTGACTACATAGGCAGCATCCTAATGGAAATGAAACCTCAGAAGTAACTGCTCAATAGTGCTTCTCTCAGTTAGCATGTTGCCAATAACATGATACTCTAATAAGCATAAACAAATAAATGGCAATCTCAAATATTAGGTTAAATTATTTTTATTTGTTAATCAGTATTTATTTATAGCATTCACACTTTATTTATATAGTTCTGTGAAACAAATGTAAGAAGGAAAATGTGTGTGTGTGTGTGTATATATATATATATATATATATATATATATATATATATATATATATATATATTAGGGGTGACCCCGAATAGTCGAATATTTGAAGACTAAAATTTCATCTTTGAATATAATTTCATTATTTAATATTATGTACCTGTATTATTATTCTTTATTAGTATTCATAATCAGTTGCATTATCTTATGAAGTTTAAAATGCATGAGTTAGACTATAGAGTGCATGGACACATGTGTTTAAGGAACATGTATTCTGCTTGAAGGTATGAGTAAAATGTAATGTTCACTTATTCCAATGATGATTATACTTCAGATGAGTACAGTTGGTATGCTGTTTGCAAGAAAAGGAATGTTTCAACTGATGCAAATGTACCATTTGTATACCACTAATGTATACACTGAAGAAATAGTTTCTTAATGTGCATTAGGAGTGGATTGTACCATGTGCATATACATTCCATCGCCCTGTTTTAAGATCGTTTCTGATGAAATAGAACGGTTAAGATTAAAATTTGGACACGTGCTGCTGGCCCGAGAATTTTCGGTTTCTGTGGTTGCTCACACAAAAATCGCAGCAAAAGATGCTTTCCAACAGGTCTTATCGTAGTTTTTGTCCAAGTCAAGTCAATTGTAATTGAAACTTGCCGGCCCAGAAAGTTAGTAAAGACATCGTTAAAATAGTCCGAGTGACTACAGTGGCTCAACCTTAAGTTTATCAAGCGACGACACAAAAAACAAAAAACAAAGATAACGACTTTATTCAACTCTTCATCTTCTACTCTGTGGGCCTCGAGTGAGTTCACGTAGTGTAACAGCGCAGCGCTTCTGGGTTGTACGTCAGAACATAGGCTCACTATTGGCCAGCATCACACGCATCACACACACGACCAGCATAGGCCAATAGTGAGCCTATGTTCTGACGTACAACCCAGAAGTTACAATACGTGAACTCACTCGAGGCCCACACAGTAGAAGATGAAAGCAGTAGATGAGAAGGTATCCGGTTGTTAAGTCGTGACGTAACCACTCTCCGATAATACTGTTTCCGGGTCCTCTCTACCTACTTACCGCTTTCGCCCGAGTTTTAACATGCCGCAGTGCTGTGTCCCGTGTTGGAGTAAAAAAAAAAAAAAACTTTGTCATTCTACCACTTAATTATGCCACCTGAATGATGAGCTACACTGACCACTCTGTTGGAGTTAAAATAGTTTGAACCCTTTTTGACCGCCAAGGGTGCATCACTAAAGTAGGACGTGATCGTAAATAAATTAACAGGTTCCGCCATTGTTATTAGATCTGGACGAGCAGAGCGCTTGGACCCGGAAGATGCTAAACGTCACACGTGACGTCAGACTTAACAACCGAATATTCTCTTCTAATTTAATTCTGTAAATTAAATATCGATTCATTTTTGGTGCATCAATGTTGCGCTGTACTTCGAGCCTGCTCGCACAGGCAATTTAGCCGATTTAATTTGATTTGCATGTGAGATGCAAATCCTGTCTGCAGTTATTTATGTTTTATTGATCCGAAATGTTGTTATACATTTTCTTCTATATCTATGTATGATGTTCTGTACATCGCGGCTTTAAAATGTTAAAGCCCCCCCCCACACACATGATTCGACTATAGGCAAGACTTGACGATTCTGATTCGACTATGAAAATCCTTAGTCGAGGACACCCCTAATATATATATTTATACACACACACACACAAAAGTATCCTAAAATATATATACTGTATACACTCACCACCAGCCACTTCATTAGGTATCTATAACACCTGTTCAACTGCTTGTTAATGCAAATATATAATCAGCCAATCACATGGCAGCAACTCAAAGCATTTAGGAATGTAGACATGATGAAGACGTTCTGCTGAAGTTCAAACTGAGCATCAGAGTGAGGAAGAAAGTGATGTAAGTGACGTTGAACGTGGCATGTTTGTTGCTGGTCTGAGTGTTTCAGAAACTGCTGATCTTCTGCAGCTATATAACTATATAAACAAATGCTGTTTCAATAAGCACTATCACTATGGCTATAAATCTTCTCCGTGACTTCAGGTGCTGTGTATGTGGGCAGCTCACTAGGGTTTTCAAACACAGCTGGTTTATCCTCTAATCCGTCCTCTCATTACAGCAGAGGTGACCTGAGTGAGACACACAGCATCTATCGGTCCTTTTATAGGGGTCAGACCAAGCACGAGGAGAGAGAGACTCTTTAAGGATGAATCTTATACATCTGTGACCTCTGGCCCAGGGTGATGATAATGATGTTGGTAGTTATTTTTGGCAGATCCTGCAGCAAGGAAATTTCACCCATCCTGACCCTGATGATTATGCATGCAGAGACTTGAATACACAGACATAAATGCACATGAACGTGTGCAAACATTCAAACTCTCCCTACACAATGAATCATTCTGTTGTGATTCTGTTAAACCTACAAGGATGTCAATCTGCAAGTCTAAAGGTCCTTGCACACGGAGTCCATATTGTCGTCAGAAATTTTCACGTTAAAAAATAAATACGACCTCACGTTGTGTCAATTACGTTTCCCACTGCCTCTGTAAACTGTAAATCGCTCGGGATAATCCCTCTAGATAAACTCTCCTTCCTCTCTACGTAATCTCAGAATTGGATGGACGCAATATTTCCTCTTTTTGAGAAGAGAGAGGACAACAAAACCTTAAAGGTCCTTGCACACTGAGTAAGACATTTTTGTATTTGTTTTTTCGTATTCATCATCCTAAAAATTTGTCATGCACTGACTTCGATGTGTATTAATTAATCCGTTGCGAAAAAATTCGCGAAACAATGCAAAATGGAGTCTTCAAGCAGTGAGGATGATTTTGTTGTCCTCTCTCTTCTTAAAAAGAGAAAAAGAATGAGGAAATATTGGGTCCATCTAATCCTGAGATTGCGTAGAGAGGAAGGAGAGTTACACCTCCTTATCAAAGAGCTTCGGGAATATCCCGAGCGATTCAAAGTTTACTTAAGGATGTCAGTGGCTCAGCTTGATGCTTTGCCTAGTAACACTGGAGCCACATATTAAAATGAAAACCTAGCCTAGAAATCTAGTGGCAGCAAAAATAATTTTGCAGCAAAGTGTGGTCTAGCAACTCTCCATAGACTTTTGAGCTGGAAAAACCAAAAACTGGTCCGGCCAATCAGATCGTGTAGAGTCGGCGGGCAGGCTTAACATAATAACGGCAGAGTTATGACGGTTCCGGGTGATTTCCATAGGTGATTTCCCTCTGCTTGAAAACAAAGAAGATGCTGCTGGCGAACAGCGGTCTTTCGAATCGGCTTTGCCCGCGACTCTGGATGACTTGGAGTTAAGAGAACGTCACTTAAGTCATTCCTAAAAAAGGAAGATGTGTTCAGAGTTTTGACGACCGGATACGGCAAAAGTTTAACATACCAACTAGCTGGTTCACTGGTGGAAAAACGCATGGGACTCACTCAGCCACAGCCGCTCGTTGCTCTGGTTGGTTGTTGCGCTATCCTATTACGTGCCGAGGGATATTGAAAGACAACCGTTTATCCCGCCCCTCGGATTGAGGTATGCCAATTGTGAGTTCCCAGACCTAACATCTTGATGTAGGTCTGGCTTGCCAGGCTAATGAAAACCACAAATTTCCGTGAACCAATTGACCCTGAACAGTTCTGGATTTTGGCGTTTGCTTGATGCTCTGAATTGTCAAAGCACCTCTCAAAATGCTTGCTACGGATGTGAAAAAACGCAGAAAATTGAACCTGATCAGATTTTTTTTTCAGAGGCAGTGTGTAAACGTGATTGACACAACGTGAGGTGGTCGTATTTATTTTTTAACTTGTGGAAATTTCGGCCAGAATATAAACTGCATGCTCAGAGATCCTTTTTTTTTCATTGCTAAAGTGCCTCTATTATTCTATTTTAAAGGATCCTCATTTTGTTTTGGAGTCTCCAACAATAGGTTTACATGCATAAGGTTAAAAAACACTTAATATATATTGCAGCATCAACTCTTTTCTCAGTATCTGCAACGGTTTGATCAGGAATCTCTAATCTGTCTAAGCCCCTCCTTTCCGAGAGCCTACTCTGCTCTGATTGGTCAGATGACCCAGCCTGTTGGAAACCAAATGTCCATTTCCATATCTGAATTTTAGCTCTGGATCTTCCTCAGCACTTAATCAGTCCTATGAACAGTAACGATGGCGTGCGATTTACCGTATCCAGCGCTGAGTGCATCAAAGTTGATTTGCTTTCGCTGTACAGAAAACAGCGTCTTCTCAACATGTCCAAACTCTTTCAGGCCTCAGATAAAACTACAGTGTTTAGGGGCGGGGCAAAGTAAACGTTGTTCGCAGGCAGCCAATGATAGGCTGGCAATATGCAAATTTGTTACAAATCTACGTAGGTTCAGTAGGAAGTAAGACTCGAATCTCTTCTTTCTTTTGGGAGACAATAACTCCATTTATCTGCACTTTGAAATTTGGCAGACCTTTAAATTCACAAACAGCCATATTACACACTACATAAAAGGTAATATACCCGATAATAGGGGCACTTTAAAATACGTTCTTGCATCCCGTTTTAACATGCAACTATAAGTATGACATTCATAGGCTGATTCCCCCCTGAATAGCAAACACTGTGACTCAGTGACGCTATCAAAATCAGCCCGAAACAACAACACTGAGTAAGTTTGGGTCAGACCTGTTTATCTGACCAATGTAAGACCATGAGGATTTGGTTATGTATGGACAAGGGTTCTGTTATGGTTAAGAAAGGGAGACTTAGTCCTGTTTATCTCTTTACTTGCCTTCTCCAGATAATCTCTGAAAACTGTGGATCTTCAGTTTGGCCCGGCTTAGCTGTTCCTCAAGAGAGCGGAGTCTTCCTGACGATATTGGCCCATCCGACTGTCCTTCCGGCATCCTGCAAAACACACACGGTTTGTTAGCGAACCGCTTCCGCAGCTTAGAGTTTGCAAACAGCGGATCAGTCTGCTCTTCTCACGCCGTCTATGAAGAAAGCAATCAGGCCGTAAACAAACGGAGAGCGACACGGAAAACGACAGGCTCCAAACGTTGATTCACCGGAGCCTGATTATGAATTGGCCATGAATAAAATAATCATAAATGTCTGCTGTGATGTTCAATAGCGTTCAGTGCACTGCATAAATTTGCTGCCCATACATTCGTCTAAAGCATAATTGCTAATTACAGTTTGGCAGTGTTCGTTTCTATTCAGCTGATTTAGATGAAATCACCTCTTAACTAACGAGCATTTGGGAAACTGCATGACACAAACATCTGCTCGTTTAGATCACATATTATCATATTGAGCTTTTATTTAATAACTGAATGTTTACTGAATATTTCTATTTGTTTTTAGGGGGCGGTAAACGGGTCAATATGCGTCCAAGTGCTAAAACCACTGAGTAGATTGCTTATACTAAGTATTAATATGGTAATCATACATTAATATTAATACTTCTGCTGAATGCATATGCATGAGGGTATATATGCAAGGGAACAAAGATTAGCGTGGAGAAATCAATAGAGCATGTTAGCACAATTTGCAAGAGTGGAGGAGGGAATACTAATTGATTCAAAAGATGCAAAAAGGGCTTTTAATTTGAAAGCAAATGACAAAAACAACCACAAGTGCTGAGGACACCAGCCTGCTTCCATATGCAAAAAGACATTAGAAAGACGACACCGCTCAATTGTTTGGGGTCAGCAAGGATTTTTTTAAAAGAAAGAAATTAATTCTTTATGAATCACATTTATTCTTAAAGGGTTAGTTCACCCCAAAATTAAAATGATGTCATTAATGACTCTCCCTCATGTCGTCCCAAGCCCGTAAGACCTCCGTTCATCTTCGGGACACAGTTTAAGATATTTTAGATTTAGTCCGAGAGCTTTCTGACCCTCCATTGAAAATGTATGTACGGTATACTGTCCTTGTCCAGAAAGGAAATAAAGACATCATCAAAGTAGTCCATGTGACATCAGTGGGTTAGTTACAATGTTTTGAAGCATCGAAAATACATTTTGGTCCAAAAATAACAAAAACTAGGACTTTATTCAGCATTGTATTGTCTTCCGGGTTCTGTTGTGGATCCGCGTTCAGTGACGCTGCTGACGTGTGTCTGGTGCGTCCGTGTATTCGGGTTCAAATAAATATGGCTGGGCAAAAAAATGCAAGTCTTCCTCTGTGTGGAAATCCTTAGACATGTTTGTGAAGATTGTTTTGTTTCCAGCGTGCGTCTCCCTCAGACTGTAAACGAAGCTCATTAAGAAAGAAATTAATTCTTTATGAATCACATTTATTCTTAAAGGGTTAGTTCACCTAAAAATGAAAATTTTGTCTTTAATGACTCACCCTCATGTCGTCTATAAGACTACTTATAAGTCTATAAGACTACAATTACGCAAATCTTAGAATTTTGACACACTTAAGACTAGAGTTTTAATTTGAGCAGATTTATGTAACATGCATGTTCTGTTGTGGTTAAGGGTACGTTTACACGGTACGTTTGATCATTGTCAAAACGATCCCCATTCACACGGATCCGCGAAAACGACTAAAAACCCTGTATTCTGCTGCTTTTCGAAACCGTTTTCAAAAACTTGCACTTTGAAACCCGTTTTCAAAAGTTCGCATTTTCAGGCACCCAAAATGCCGTTGTCGTGTAAACGAACGGCCAAAACGCATAAAATGTATTACGTTTTTAGTTGAAAACGGTGTTGTGTAAACATCCCTTTAGTCATGTATAGGTATGAAACAGCTTCATAAACAGTCTTTTCAGCCACACAGTATCATTATTTCTGTTTTATAAATATATTATCACAGAAGTACTGGAATTAAAGATTATAGTTAATATATAAACACTAATGTAATAGAGTAAATCACCATTTGAAAAGTATGTGGCGACAAGTGACTGTAAATTTTTTTTTTTCATTGAATCATTCATTAAAGAGATTCGTTCAAAAACGCTGATTCATCCAGTAATGAAACAAATGACGTATTTATGAGTGAGTCATTGAATCATTCATTCAAACTGATTAAAAAAAAAATATATTAATTAAATTAGAAGCAATTCATCTTAAAGAGGCTATATGTGTTTTTCTGAAATTTAAACTCGCGACTGACACCTGTGGCCAAAAAACAGAACTGCTCTTCCTTTCTGCTCACTCTCGCAGCGCGCGCTCGTATGTGCACACTTCACTAACAGCATTTACAAGTGAACTGAAAACAACACAGTGCTATTTCAATGAACAGTTTTATCACGTATTACCTTTTCAGAAAAAAAAGCCATTTCTGGGTCACTTCGTATTCCCAACACAGATCTGAGCTCCCTCCAAGGCTCAAATGCGAAGCCGATGTTCACTCTAGTCCTTGCTCCGCGCCGGTCGCTCTCAATCTTCGATCTTTTTCGGCCACTTGTCAGGGGTTTAACTTTTTTAGTCTTCTGTGGAGTTACTGTTGGTGTCCGAGTTGTCCTAGGTCTCTTCTGTGTATTCGCAAAATCCATTGCACTGCTTGCGAGTGTAGGCTACTTGCTGACTAGCTGTGGTGGCAGAGTGATCTGAAACGTTTAACATGAACGCGCTTGACATCACATCCGCAGACAGCGCGGGAAAAATCCGACCCGACAGAAAATAGGAAAAATAGGATACAGGCTTACAGGTGCACCCAATGTGAGCGGACAAGGTGTCAGTATGCTCATCAGGAGATGTTTAAGTCATAAATGGTAAAATAAAAAGGCTATTGTTACATTTATTTTGGGGAAAAAGTTCCATATAGCCCCTTTAACATGAGAACCTCTAGTAAACTACATGTTATTTCAACGCATTCTCATCCTTTGGCGTCATATAGGTGACGCCATATGACATTTCGTCGAAATCTTACGCACATGGCATCCTTTAGCATCAATATAACACGCACTGTTATGGGTAGGTTTAGGTCTGGGGTAGGGTACGGTTATGACGCCTTGGGTTCTGCGTCTCATATTGACGCTAAACGATGCCATGTGCATAAGATTTAGACGAGCGTCACCTGTATGATGCCTTGGGATCTGCGTCTCATATTGACGCTAAAGGATGCCATGTGCGTCGGATTTAGACGAGCGTCACCTGTATGACGCCTTGGGATCTGCGTCTCATATTGATGGTAAACGATGCCATGTGCGTCGGATTTAGACGAGCGTCACCTGTATGATGCCTTGGGATCTGCGTCTCATATTGATGCTAAAGGATGCCATGTGCGTCGGATTTAGACGAGCGTCACCTGTATGACGCCTTGGGATCTGCGTCTCATATTGATGCTAAACGATGCCATGTGCGTCGGATTTAGACGAGCGTCACCTGTATGACGCCTTGGGATCTGCGTCTCATATTGACGCTAAAGGATGCCATGTGCGTCGGATTTAGACGAGCGTCACCTGTATGACGCCTTGGGATCTGCGTCTCATATTGATGGTAAAAGATGCCATGTGCGTCGGATTTAGACGAGCGTCACCTGTATGACGCCTTGGGTTCTGCGTCTCATATTGATGCTAAACGATGCCATGTGCGTTGGATTTAGACGAGCGTCACCTGTATGACGCCTTGGGATCTGCGTCTCATATTGATGGTAAACGATGCCATGTGCGTTGGATTTAGACGAGCGTCACCTGTTTGACGCCTTGGGATCTGTGTCTCATATTGATGCTAAACGATGCCATGTGCGTTGGATTTAGACGAGCGTCACCTGTATGACGCCTTGGGATCTGCGTCTCATATTGATGGTAAACGATGCCATGTGCGTCGGATTTAGACGAGCGTCACCTGTATGACGCCTTGGGTTCTGCCTCTCATATTGACGCTAAAGGATGCCATGTGCGTCGGATTTAGACGAGCGTCACCTGTATGACGCCTTGGGATCTGCGTCTCATATTGATGGTAAACGATGCCATGTGCGTCGGATTTAGACGAGCGTCACCTGTATGATGCCTTGGGATCTGCGTCTCATATTGATGCTAAAGGATGCCATGTGCGTCGGATTTAGACGAGCGTCACCTGTATGACGCCTTGGGATCTGCGTCTCATATTGATGCTAAACGATGCCATGTGCGTCGGATTTAGACGAGCGTCACCTGTATGACGCCTTGGGATCTGCGTCTCATATTGACGCTAAAGGATGCCATGTGCGTCGGATTTAGACGAGCGTCACCTGTATGACGCCTTGGGATCTGCGTCTCATATTGATGGTAAAAGATGCCATGTGCGTCGGATTTAGACGAGCGTCACCTGTATGACGCCTTGGGTTCTGCGTCTCATATTGATGCTAAACGATGCCATGTGCGTTGGATTTAGACGAGCGTCACCTGTATGACGCCTTGGGATCTGCGTCTCATATTGATGGTAAACGATGCCATGTGCGTTGGATTTAGACGAGCGTCACCTGTTTGACGCCTTGGGATCTGTGTCTCATATTGATGCTAAACGATGCCATGTGCGTTGGATTTAGACGAGCGTCACCTGTATGACGCCTTGGGATCTGCGTCTCATATTGATGGTAAACGATGCCATGTGCGTCGGATTTAGACGAGCGTCACCTGTATGACGCCTTGGGTTCTGCCTCTCATATTGACGCTAAAGGATGCCATGTGCGTCGGATTTAGACGAGCGTCACCTGTATGACGCCTTGGGATCTGCGTCTCATATTGATGGTAAACGATGCCATGTGCGTCGGATTTAGACGAGCGTCACCTGTATGACGCCTTGGGTTCTGCCTCTCATATTGACGCTAAAGGATGCCATGTGCGTCGGATTTAGACGAGCGTCACCTGTATGACGCCTTGGGTTCTGCGTCTCATATTGATGGTAAACGATGCCATGTGCGTCGGATTTAGACGAGCGTCACCTGTATGACGCCTTGGGATCTGC